TGGGGTGAGGGGAGGGCCTGAAGAGAAGGGCCCCCCGGGGTGCGACAGGCGCCACTGCCTTTTCTCCGCAGCTGAAGAAGCTGGACCAGGCCGTGTCTGCCGCTCACACCTTCTTCGTGGCTAACCCCCAGCACCTCCAAATGCGGGAGGACATAGAGAAGTACCGGCGTATGTCAGGGGTGCAGTCGGACGACTTCCGCGACCTGGAGGCCACGCCGCACTGGGTGAGGGTCTGGTGCCGAGCCAGGTGTCGGCAGCTCCTTTCCCAGCCTAGGAGCTGGGCTGGGACCGTGATGTGTTCTCACATAAGGGCTGTGGCTGGAGGCAGGGCCCCGTGTGCAGAATCACAGAACAGTTTGGGTTGGACGAGACCTTTAAAGATCACCTAGCCCAACCCCACCTGCCACGGGCAGGGGTGGCTTTCACTAGATCAGGTTGCTCAAAGCTCCATCCAAACTGACCTTGAATGCTTCTAATGATGGGGCATCACCAGTTTCTCTGGGAAGCCTGCACACCTCTCATAACAGGTATCTTCCTTATCTCCTATCTAAATCTACCCTCTCTGTTTTAAACAGTTGCTTCTTGTCATTATAAGCCTTGTTCAAAGGTCTCACCCAGTCTTTCTCATAAAGCTCCTTTTATATTTGAAAGGCCATAAGAAAGTCTCCCCCAGGCCTTGTTTTCAGGTGACAACAAACCATTGCAAGCATGACATAGAAACTTTCGGGTGACACCCATGTCAGGCTGCAGAGCCCTGGAAGTCTGTTTGGCTTAAGACCAGAAGATCTGCTGTCAGTGCACGGTGGGCTGTGCAGGATCAGGCAGGCCTGTAGATGTCAGCACTACTTTGTGAGCTACTCGAAGTCTCAGGGGGCCTTTGGTGTCAGCCACACTGATGAGGGACTTGGATCTGTCCATTATAGGAAGCGTATGAGGCTGGGGTGCAGCACTACAATGCAGATGAATACCTGCAGGCTGTGGCCAAGCTGGAGAAGTCACTCACAGAGGCACTGTCAGCACTGGAAGAGTGCCGTGCCCTGTGTGAAGGGCCTTGGGAGGATGAGGACGAGGAGGAGGAGGAGGAGATGCAGCCTGGCCTGTATGAAGCCGTCGCAGGTAGCGTTAGAGGCACAGAGGGCTGGGGGGGAAATCCACGCTCCCCACGCTGGACACGTGCCATTTCCCAGTGCTCCTGTCCAGGAGAAGTGTGAGCTACTGGCTTTCTTGCTCCTCTCTCTTGCAGCCCATTACGTTCAGGTTTTGAAGTGCAGACAGCAGTGTGTCCTTGACATTGCCACGAAGCCGGGGCGGGTTTCTGCCACGGAAGATTTCATACCGGCTCACCTCGACCTGCTGCAGTTCGCCTACAGCCAGGGTAAGCAGAGCCACAACCAGTGGGTAATGCTCTGGCACCCCTAATCTTGCCCTTTGCCTCCGGACCTAGAGGGTGACATGTCATGAGGAGAAGTGGCATGCTGACCTAAGCTCTGCTTCTCTCTTCCTCCTGCCCCTTGACTCTTCCCAGAACCTCTCTTGCTCAAGCCTGTGGCCACCTTAGGAGAGGTCCCTCGTGATCCACTTCAGTCTTCCTGTGCACCTTCTGTGATGCTTGGGTATTCCCACTTCTTTCCTCTGTCACTCTCCATTTCAAGTCCTAGTTCCAACTACCTGCTGTGTATTTCCCACCCTCCTTTTCAGGACGTAGCTACAGAGCAGGCCCCTGCTTCCTGTCTGGAGCCTGCACATGCATCTCATCTCAACAGTGGTGTTTCTTCTGAGCCAGCCTTGCCTGCCCTTGCTGAACTAATGGCCTGTCATGACACTGATCATCCTGTCACCCTGTTGCTTTCACATGTCCCTCAGGGATATACCTCTTCTCCTTCCCACACTGACCCAGCCATCTCTCATCTCTCTCAGACCATTGGTAGAACTTGCATTGCAAAGAAGCCTCCAGACCCCTCATCATGTCTATTGGGTGGGGGAGGTGGGACCATCCCTCTTCCAAATGTATACTGATTTTTTCTCTAACATGAAGTCTTTCCAAGACATATCTGTTTGTTCTGTTCTGTCCCTGCCCAAGTTGGGAACCAGTCACTGGCTGCTGAATGTGCTGCCTCCTACTTGCTCTTCTATCCCACGGATGAGATGATGTTGGAGAAAATGAAACAGTATCGCACAGAGCTGGGAGAGGACACAGCTGTGACAGCCAGAGAGGTAGTTACAAACCCAGGTCTGTAATTTTTGGCCCTCCCCTGTCCCTTATGACAGGATCACAGTCCGGGAGACAGAAAGGGAAAACGTGTTTCACTACAGATGTGTGCCAAGCCCAGGACTAAAGAAACTGGTGCCTGAGTTTGCCTGTAGTCTGTACCAGGCAGGGTCTCTTCAGGACAGCAGCGGGTTTTCATAGTGCACAGAAATGTGTTGGGACAGGTTTCTGCCATGGACAGGGATGGGATTGGTTGGTTGTGGTGGTTGTTTGACAGCCTCTTTGCTTCCTTAGAATATCCAACATTATGTGCAGAGATCTTTGATGGAGAAGAAGTTGATTTATTATGCAGTGGAGAATCTAGGAGGAACTTTTAATGACCCTGTAAGTAACAGTATCACCTTAATCTTCCTGCCTTGACTTCATTGAGACAGTTGCCAGAATTCACTGCAGTAGTACCTGATCCAGAAAAGAGATGCTGATGAGAAAGACTCCCAAGTCCTTATGTGGTGGATCTTTAAGGCGTTCCCATTGCTCCAGGACTGAAGTCAATTTGAAATTGCTACTGTAATCATATGCATTAGTCCAGTATGATTGTTGTCAGAAGCAGGCCAGAACCATTGATCTGATATTCACTGGAAAAGCAGGAGAAGGAACTGTCTGTTTGACATGATCCAGTGTGGGAGAAGTTGGTTGTATACTGAACCATCTGCATTTGTTTCTACAGGATCTTTGGACTCCAGATGAGCTGATTCCTGAAAACCTAAGGGAGAAACACAGGTAAGGTTGGCCAAGTTGACAAGGACTGAAATATAAGTGGTGGAAGTAGGGGATGGGGTTGAACTGGTAAGGAACAGTTCTAGCTACTGAGGAGTGGTCAAAACAGGGACAGAAAGGGTGTGAAATGCTACCACAGAGGAGGGTTAGGCATAGCTCTGTGTACTGACAGCCCTGGTCACTGTTTTTTCCCTTCCTCCCGAGAGAGGATCAGGAGAAGCAAAAGCAGGAAACTCAGGCTGTGGAAGAGAGGGAGAAGAGGGGTGAGTACAAGAGCTTGAAGAAGGACTTGGATGCAGTCAGCCAGGCTTAGCCAGGCTAAGTGCTGTCTTTTCTTCCATCCTCAAACATTTGAATGCTAGCATAGATGCAGACTGACTTGAATGGCTCAGCAAGTCTTCTCACTGTTTCTTTTCTCCCTCTTTGATGCATGTGTAATCTTGCAAAATCTCACTGCGTCCATCTCTGGGATGGGAACTCAAAGAGCACTGTGGCAGAAGAAGCTGAGAGCAGTGGTGCCTGAGTACGTGACCAGCCTGTGAGCATGCAGTCCCCTGTTCAGTGTGGCAGAAGTGTCTACACCAAACCTGGTCCAACTCCACCAGCCCAACTTCAAACAACATTTTTCTGAAGGGCACAAGGAGAGAGGGGGGGAAATGGAAACTGGAAACACACTGTTCAGCTTGGGCAAGTCTTTCCCTGAAAAACACGAGTCCAGATGGTTTGTGGATGATTGCTGTATAATGCAGTGCAGAGTCCTCTGTTCTGGCTCTTCCTCTGTTCTTGTGTGTGGATGTGTAGCCTCTTGTAGGGCTCTGTCTTGGAGCCTTTGTTTGAAGTGATCCCAAGAGGTTCTCTGCTGTGGCACGTGGCAGAGCAGGTCATTCT